GTAGGGCATCTTAACTTGTCCCTTGCTGCTTGGATATAACAACTCTCTAAGGTTCCTTTAGAGGAGAAGTAGTATAGTCTAGAGTGATTAAATCTTTATTTTTTCACACCAGATCATAACATTCTCTAGCCCTAGTAGTAAATAGATCTTGCTTGGTGGCAATGGCTATAGCAACGTGATTGCTAGTGGATAGCAAGCCATTAGGCACTATTACAGATGGCTACATGTTTTTCAGCATAGAGGTATAGCAAATGCTATAGTAGGGCTGTGATGGATTTCAGCTTGAAGCATATTAAGGTTGCTAAAGAATTTAAGATGCCTAATGAGATTTCAATTCTAAGCAACTAAAGGGAATAACTTTAGAGACGATGTATGGGGTTTAAATATAGAGGGAAAGACCTATGAATAAAAAAAAAATTCCAATCGGTTAAAGGTATTGGGATACTTAAGGTTAAATATCCTTGGGTTTAAATATAAATGACCTCCTGGGAAGTTTAAGTTTAGGAGCTTACATTTGGTATTGAGTCTGACTCTATTGATTGGATAAGAGAATTATGCTATATGTTAAGATTGACATTTAGTAGGTTTAATTTGCTTTAGCTGGGTTTAACTTAAGGGGTAGGGGGTCAAGAGAGTGGGGCTCTCGAGAGAGCTATAGCTTTCAGCTTTTGTTCACGAGGGTGTAAATTTGCAAAGAAGCATAAATTGTAAGTAACTAAAAAGAACAATTTAAAGTTCAAATATAAAGGGAGAAGGCCTATAAATAAAATGCACCTTTTTCCAATTGGTTAAAAGTCTCTTAAGGTTAAGTACTATTAGGTTAAACAACATTCCAAAAAGTTTAAATTCATAAGTTTACACCAATATAAACAATGGATTAAATGGCCAGATCCTTAAATCTTGGTTTAGAAGTTCTATTTAACTTATTTATGATGGACTAACTTTTTATGCAACAAGTGTTCATTCTATAAGGATTTCTTTTGCTACTATTGAAAATCAAAAGGTCGAGCATGAAGAGAAGAATGTACTTAGTGATCAAGCTAGAGGTAACTCTATAGTTCCAACTAGATGTTTGAAATTTAAATTTTCAGTCTCTCACTTCTAAAACTAGTGATGGAGTTAAGAATACAAGTGAAGAGATGCATTGTGCTTGGGGCTTGGCTAGTGGACCATAAGGTATTAAGTGATTTTCAACTGCTTTTATAGCTTTACATTATTCCTTTTTTTTTCTTCTAGAAAGAAGAAATCTTCTCTCAATCATCATATGGGGAGTGGTATAGTAATTGCAGGGCATGTTCTTGAGCTTTGCCAATCACCAAAATTTTCTTTATAGTGTTCTTGGTATAAATTATGATATACTCTCTTTTAGGTTTGTGAGTGTATAAAATATGGAAATGCCAAAAACTCTAGTTTATATATAGAAGGGAGCTAAACTATGCTTAAGGTTGGTACAACCCCAATTATTGACACTACTCTCCAAAAGAGAAAGACCATATGAAATGATAGTAGAAACTTCTATGGGTGTCAAACTAGGAATGGATCAAAGAGCTCGCACCTTCACTATTTTCAACGTATCCCGCCAGGAGTGCCGTCCATAGAATCGTGTTACACTGCTCCATTCCGTCGAAGGCCCGGCCTGAGTACATGTCCACCAAGTTGTTCGTGAGGGCAGCAGCCATACCTGATAGCTTCCGAGTGCACAGCCATCCCCTTCTCCACAGATTTTATCTGAACTTGATTGGTGCTGGATTTCTTCTTTCGCTGCGAGGCCAGTGCAAGCTTTCGATGCAGCAAGAAAGCTCCGAGCATTTGGTCGGCAGTTTCTCGCTCTGGACAGCATTCATGCTGGGATACGCGCGAAGAAGATCTGGAACGGAAGCTGTTTACAGAGCTAAGACCGCCAAAGAACGACGTTGCATGACTCCAGTTTGTCGTAGATCCTCTGGGCTCCCACACTTGGAGTACGCATGCTGACCACGAACAGGCTGGTGTCAAGTCCTCTTCTCGCCGCCGAGGCATGAACAGCCATGCCTTTCTCCAAAGAAAAAGCTTTGACGAGCCTGTCATCCAGTGGAGCAGCCACTTCTTTCTACTGCCAGCCTTGAGAACTGCCACAATGATCCGGTTGGAGCCGAGTCGAGAGAAATCGAGAGAAAACCTCAAAGGCCACTTCTTCGAGGTTTGTTGCGCTAGAGCGTTCCAGGAGACCGTGTTTGGAGCCATGATCTTCTCAAAAGCTCTGCGAACATCGGCCATCCCACACTTAGTGTACATATCCACCAACGTGTTTCTGACAAAAACATCACTAGATCGATGCTCTCGAGCTACTGGGAAGAAATTTTTGGAATCCTCTTGCGGAAGCTCGCTTACCTGATTTCGAGAGAAATCTGGCGGCTGGATGGCAAATGCTAGAAAGCTCTGCACTGCTCGAAGAACCCTAAACAATTCTAGTGATGCCATTGCCCGAGAGCAAGAAGAGAAGGAGCGCCCGAGCGGTATCTTCTTTGTATTCCCCTTAGCTATCTTTAAGAGAGAATGCATGTGTTTCAGGAATCGACATATTCGTGTTGCTGAAAATCTATCACAAGAATTTTTCCATTTTAAACGTCTCTCAGAGAACTCAGTAGTTTCATCGTCAAACAAAGTCGTTTGGCCCTGTAGAAGACGATGACAATTGTAAGAAACCTCACATGATCAGTCGGCTTATCAAGAAAGACTCAAATCTGAATGGTTCCATGGCGATCCAACACCCGAGCCCACCACACAACCTACTTCGTTCATTTGCCACCATTCGGTTCTGCTGCTATCGGGCGCAGCAAACCTAAGGCTTCCAACCGCTTCTACGAGTGATCAGGAGATACCGCGAGTGCATGGGCGCAGTCCGGATCAAACGAGCCTCGGCAGCCTGGTCGAGCTCGAGAAATCCGGCAAGCACAGGCAAACAAACACGAAGCAAACAAGGTGAATACCGTTACCTTATGACAGTGCCTTAACACCGGCGTTCTAAGGATGAGGATCGTGTTGGAGGCGTGTAGAACGGCGTCCGAGTTTATCCCGAGAGAAAGATCGCAACAAATGTATGCTGGTCAGTTTCTTTCCATCGGTGGAGATGGCAAATGGCGTGACAATATCATCCATGGGAAGGTACCGTTTTAATCGTCAAGCGAATGACTCGTCCGGCTCGTTTTCGAGATTCTCCCTATCCATCCTTGATCGCGTGATTCTTCCTTCTTTCTAGCCTCCACCGCCATCGACGCGCAACGCCCTCGGCCCTGGAGCGAACAAGTTTCTGATGTGCCAGCATTCAGGGTGGATATTTGGGCGCGGCCGAGCGACTGTTCTTCGGAGCGCCAGATGGCGGATCTCCAATCCGAGGAGAGATTCCCTGTCCCAGCATTGGACGAGGCGGCGGTGGAAGGAAGAGCATTGAAAGGTGACAGAGATCTAAACAACCTGGAATTTTCTAGCATAGAAAGGTTAGCCTAGGGTATAGAATGGGCCTGTGGTTGAAGCATGCCGAGCAGGAGGCAAGACGTTTTGGCCTCGTGGGCGATGGAACCAAGCTGCCGGTAAGGGCTATCGCTGCGTTTTGGAAGCTGGATCCCGCGACTCTGTGTATTGGCGACGATGTGCTGCTCGCGGATGCAACTGGAACCTCCATCTTCGACGTGGAATCCATCCGGCAGACGGCAGTCAGGAGTGGCCTGGGCGATGGCAGCTCCAAAGACGCAGCCATGCCCATCATTGGGACGATCATCATCGCTCAAGAAGAAGAAGAAATACAAATACCAAATTGGGCAGAGATGAGCCGCAAGCGGCTCGAAGCATCGCGGCAGCTGGACGAAGAGTTCCGCCAGGTGTTCTTCAAGGCCGAGGGAGCTATCCACGCTTACCACAACCGGGTAAGGGAAGCAGCCGACGATATCCGGGTGCTCGAGGCCGAGGCGAGCAAGTTCATCGGCTGGTTCTATCGCGTGGGTCGCCAGGACGACGAGGAGCTCGACGCCACAAACAGGTGTGGAATGGTGACGCTGGTGAGGCCGGATGGAACTTGCGTCACGAGCTACGCTTGCATGAAGAAGAAGGCGGAGGAGGAATCCGATGGCAAGCGCTACGTTGTGTGCGTGGACGGGAGGCGATACGAGTGCGTAGCAGAGGTGGCGGGCGGAGTGGGAGTTTTAACTCCCGCGCAGGGATGCTCCCAGAGCTTCTCGGCCTGCGCGGTGGTCGCGCCGATGCCAGGGCCGTGGGTGAAGGTGGTGTCGGCGTCGTGGGACCATGACGGGAACAAGAAGCCGCTGCTCGTGGCCGGAACATCGGTGGGAGGCGATGGCGGACGATTTGACGATCTCTTGGAGTACGAGACGAGCTGTCAATTCCCTCCTTACCGTCATATCATGTTGCCATACGACGGGGCCAGGATCGAGTGTGGAGCGCCAGTGATGACTCCCAGGGGTAGCTTGACGGGCGTGGTGGTGGGATTTGGGAAGCTCAGGAATGACAAGAGGAGGTCCAAGAGACTGAAGCTGCCATACAAGTTTCCCATCACCAAGGGAGACTTTGGGCGCTTCTTGGAAGGAGTGCCGGAATCCATCGCCAAAGGTAAGCAAGCTTGTTGAGGCACTTGGAGTGATTTTGTTTGTCAGCAGATTGCAGGGCCGGGGTGGAGGTGAATTGCTTGGTGTACTACAATACCGTCGAAGGCAAGATTAGCTTCCCAGCTATTGAATGGAGGGTATGTTCCTACTATAATGATCCTTGTCAGTCAACTTACACACTTCCGTGCAGCACAAGAACTACTGCAAAGCAGATGGTACAATTGTTCGGTTAAGCTGCGTGGAACACCGTGATCGAATCCTTCGCCCCCGCGGGATTGGTAGACGCGCTCGATAGGGATCAAGCCCGATGCATCCACGCTTTGGGACTCAATCCTTCCTGGAAAGAACACTACAGCTGCCTTGTATTCCATGACGGCTGGATTGGAGGGAGCGGCGGAGTAATTTAGGTTTTCAAAAGTAAAAACACGACTGCATTTTAGGGTTCTTAGCGGCCTCACTGAAGCAGCCTCGCCGCCGCCACCGGCGAGGCTGTTCAAACCGAGGCCAAAATCCAACCACGGGTCCGCAAAAGCAAGCGCGTCAGATCACACTGGTGCAGCTCTCATTGCAGATCCAACACGCTCATCACAGCCGAAGAGATTCGAGAGAAGAACATAAGGCACAGAGGAAGCAGCAAAATCATCATCCTGACCCGCGATCCCTGCGATCCTGGCAGCCGTGCTCCGATCGCTGTGAACCCCACAAGCGCCCAGGATGCTGGAGCACGCAATATCGTCCGGCTCAAACGGCATGCTGTGGAGGAGCTCCTCCGCGCGGCAAAGCTGCCCGGCTCGTCCCAGCGCATCCATCACACACATGTAGTGGTAGTGCGCCGGCTCCACCCCAAAGTCGCCGACCATGATCGCGAAGTTCTCGCACGCCCGCCGCAAATCCCCGACGTGGCCGCACGCCGAGAGCACGCTCACGTAGGTGATCTCGTTTGGAGCGAACCCCTCCACCACCATCTGCTTGAGCAACTCCAGCGCTCGCAAGGGATGCCCGTTCTGCGCATACGTCGTGATCATCGCGGTCCACGACGTGGTGCTGCGCTCCCGGAGATTTGCGAACACTTCCCAGGCCTCCGCGACGCAGCCACACTTCCCGTGGAGATTGAGCAGCGCGTTCGCAACCACGGTGTCCATCCTATCGCCATAGCCGGCGATCTCGGAGTAGACCATCTTTCCCTCAGCCAGGGCCGCAACGTCGGAACAAGCCTCGATCACGCAGACGAGCGTCACCCGGTTGGGCTGGACGCCTTCCACATCCATCCTTCGCAGCATCTGTAGCGCCTCTCGGGGATAGCCCGCTTGGGCATAGCCTGTGATCATCGTCGTCCAGGAAACAACGTTCTTGCTCGGTGCTTCCTCGAAGAGCTCTCTTGCCTGGGTGATATACCCGTTTTGGGCATACGCCGTGATCATGGTCGTCCACAGCACCACGTCCCTGCTGCTCGATCTGTTGAAGAGCTCCCGGGCCTCGCCGGGGAGTCCACACCTACCATACGCGTTGGTGAGAGCTGTGACCACCCGTAAGTCGTCCGAGAGGTTGCTGGATTCGGAGATGAGTGAGTGTAGGCGTCGGGCTCGGCTTGCTGTCGTGCACGCTTCCAAGACGCTGGCGATGGTGACGGAGCTCGGCTTCACGCCACCGTCGAGGAGCATGGCGTGGAAGAACCGGAGAGCCTCCGCGGAATGCCCGTTCTGGGCATAGCCGGCCACCATGGCGTTCCACGACACCAAACTTCTCTCCTCCATCTCGTCGAAGACTCTTCTTGCTTCGTCGACATGGCCGTTCTGGGCATACCCGCTCAGCATCGCGTTTCTCACTTCCACCACCTTGGCTTCGTCTGGGATCTCGCGATAAACCTCCACAGCAAGCTCCAAACTCCCACACTTAGCGTACATGTTTACCAGCGCTGTCTGGATCTTCACTTCTGCCGCAAGCCCAAGCCTCGCGATCTTGTCGTGAATTCTCCTCCCTGTCTCCAGCAACCCGGGAGCCGAGCAAGCTTCCAAAGCTGCCAGGAACGTCACCCCAGTCGGCCTGATACCACTATCCAGGAACCTCTCAAAGAGTTCCACTGTCACGTCGCTATATCCCTGTTGAGCATACCCTGTCATGACCGTGTTCCAAGTTACTACGTTCCTGGCCGGCGCTGCCTCGAAGATTTGCCTTGCCTCGGGCATATGCCCAGCCTGGGCATACGCCGCTACCAAAATGTTCCATGAGTAAACGTTCGTCTCCTCGATCCGATCAAACGCTGCTTGGGCATCGGAGACGCTGCCACAGCTACCATACATGTTGACGAGGAGATTTCCAAGGTAAGTGCTGGTGTCGGCCTCGAAAGTTCCTAAGTGAGCGTGGAGTTGCTTGCCTCTGGCTAAGTTCTTGCAAGATCTTAGGAGTGACGCGTAGTTTTCGATGTCTGGAAGATCCCGCGAGGCGGAGCTGATGGATCTTAGCACAGAGTGGCAGTGACGAGCGAGCATCTGTCCATGAGAAGGATCTTACGATCACTGTCGACAGTGCCGAATGGAGCTGGCTGTGATCCGCACTTGAGTTTGAGCCGCTATGTCGAGGTACTGACGAAGAGAGAGTTCGAGGACAGGGCCGAGAGGCAGGCTGCCAGTGAGTCACGGAGGTTGTCGAGGAGATCCATCTATAGAGATCAAGACGGTCCCAGGAGCAGCGGCACCAGTGTGGAAGTGAATCAAGAGCTCAAGAAAGAGCTGGATCGTCTGGAAGAACTGCAGCAGCAACAACGATTAGGAAGGACTGAGAGAGATGAGATCAAAACTTACGAGACGCTTCTTCGGCAGTGTACAGCAACCAAAGCACTCGAAGGAGGCAAACGCTTGCACCACCTTCTGCTGGAAACCAGGCTGATCGAGAGCGTATTCCTCGCCAATCTTCTCATCCAAATGTATGGAGCCTGCGGCCAGCACCAGGAAGCTTTGGCAGTCTTCCAGGGCCTCAAATCGCCCAACGTCTTCTCTTGGAACATCATCATCTTGGCATACACCCAGAACGGGCACCTGCAGGAAGCCAGGGAACTTTTCAGCCGCATGCCAAAGAAAAACGTCGTTACCTGGAACACCATGATCGCAGCGTTTGTTCACAGCGGCCAAAGCCAGGAAGCACTGGACCTGTTTGATGAAATGGGCGAGGAGCCGAGCAAGATCACTTTGATCCACGCTCTCCAAGCCTGTGAGAACCTCGGAGCTCTAGAAAAAGCCCAAGAGATCCACTCCAGAATCATCAAGCTGGGATGGGAGTCACACACAATCCTGTCCACTGCTCTCTTCAACGTCTTCGCCAAGCACGGCATCATGCTCCAAGCTCGAGCCATCTTCGAGAAAATGCCACACCGGGACGTTGTCTGCTGGAACTCGATGGTCGCTGCCTATGCCCGACGAGGACATATCGAAGAAGCCATGAAGCTATTCCTCTCCATGTCCGTCCGGAACGCCTCGTCTTGGAATTCCATCATCACGGCCTACGTCCAGTCGGGGCACAGCAAGGAAGCCTTCGGTCTCTTCAAAGCGATGGACCTGGAGGGCGTTGAGGCCACGAAGATCACCTTCCTAGCGGTTCTCGGCGCTTGCACTGGCACGAACTCTCTGGCACACGGAAAACTCGTCCACACTCTGATGGTGGACGCCGGCTTCGCGGTCGACATCACTGCCGCCACTGCTTTGATCACCATGTACGCAAAGTGTGGAGCTCCAGAGGCCTCCAAGGCTGTCTTCCTCCAAATCTCTCATCACAACTGCATCACCTGGGCTTCCCTGGTTGCTGCTTACGCTCACAACGGCCGTGGAAAGGCCGCTGTGGATTTCTTCCGTCTGATGTGCCTGGAAGCTTTCACGCCAAACCAGATTGCGTTCGTCAACGTCCTTCACGCTTGTAGCCATGGCGGGCTGCTCGAATGCGGGACGAGCTTCTTCCAGTCCATGGTTGGTGACTACGGCCTGGAGCCGATCTTCGAGCACTACGCCTGCATGGTTGATGTTTTAGGCCGGAGCGGTAGAACAGACATCGCAGAGAACCTGATACTGGAAATGCCGTTTGAGCCTGACGGACTGCCGTGGACGGTGCTGCTGGCGGCTTGCAAAATCCATCACGACGTGAAACGGGGAGCGAGAGCTGCCGAGAAGATTGTGGAGCTGGATCCAAAGCGATGCGCTGCGTACACGTTGCTCGCAAACGCGTACTCGGGATCTGGAAACAAGTTGTTAAAGTAGACAAAATCGAAAAGAGCGTCATTGCATACCTGTATCGAACAAGCTCCGCACGAGACAAACTATAAAGAAACAAAACCGGAGCCGGAGAATCCAGAACAAAAAGCTTAACTTTTCTTATTCTGAAAAATCTGTCAGACAAGGATATTGATTTCTTCTAAGCTTCGCTAGACCTGCACAACCCGCTTCAGTCCCACATAGAATGAAACTCGAACTGTTACCACTTTACTTTGCTTCTTCTCTCCTCCTCGAAATTGATCGGTCTCTCACTCCGGCATCAACTGTGAGATTTTCCCTTCCTCCGCTGCAAGCCTTTGCTCGGACAGCCGCAGCCATATGCACACAGCCGTGAAGCTCACTATCAAGCTCAGCATCCCACTCCCCAGACCAATTCCCACGATCCCAAGGATGGAGAGGTTCCTCGCCTTGGGCTCGGGCAAAGGATACCCGTAGAGGTGCTTGTTCCCGGCGAAAGCTGACGCATTGAAACGTATCCCAGCCGAGGTGTTGGCGAGCGCGTAAGGAATGGGACCTGATAGATCGTTGTATGAAACGTCGAAGCTGTTGAGCCGCTGGAGGCTCCCCAGACTTACAGGGATCTGTCCGGTGAGAGCGTTTTTGTGAAGATCCAAAACGCTCAGGTACGTGCAGTTTGCCAAGCTCTCCGGGATGGCACCACCCAGCCTGTTGTTGGCCAAGTTCAGCTTCGCGAGGATGTTAAGCTGGCCGATCTGCGATGGAATGACCCCTGTGAGCTGGTTGTCCGAGAGATCCAGCGTGTTCAAGTTGGAGCAATTGGTGATCGCTGGAGAGATCGTCCCGCCAAGCATTCTTCCCCCCAGGAAAATGGAGACCACCTTGTTGTCGTTGCAATTGACCCCCGTGAGCGAAGTGAAGGATTGCTTGAAGCATGGATTCTGGAGAGTCGAGTCGTTCCACGTCGAGAAGAGAGAGCGCTGGACGTCCTGAAATCCCATCTTGAGGCCGCGGAGGCATTGCGCATCGTCTCCTCCCGCTGGCTGGCCCAGCGCAAATCTCCACACCGTGAGCAAGACTAGAATGCTTCCCAACCGCATTCTTTCCTTCTCGCCGCTGAGAGATCTCTCCAGAATCTATGCCGCGCAGCAGAATTTCACGCTCCCCAGCTTCAATCGCTGCGTTCTTGAGGCGCTGCTAGCTTCCGGATTGGCGCTCTCGAGATCTAGAGCCAGCATTGCGAAGAAATCCCTGGATCTTTGCCGATTTCGCGAGATCCAGGAGACAAATCTGCTGAGCAATCACTCACCACAGGCGGCCCGCAGCTCCGCGGGATTGTCGCCGGAGAAGACGCTGCTGTCCACTGGAGCTAAAAACCCTAGGCGCACTACTGGAAGGAAGTTCAAATGGAATGAATCCAGGCCGTTGATGTAAGAAACGCCACGGATTCCGTTCCATAATTCATCAGTAAACTCCCGCCTAGGGCTTAAGCGTTCTAGGGTTCTTGGCGAGAGCAGGAATGGCGCGCCAGAACAGGTAATGCAGGGCCAGGTTCCACAGGGGATGGAATTCTCCATTCCAGCTCCACCGCTTCACACGCCTGAAGATCATGACAAGGAATCGATTAGCGGATTTTGCTCCCGGGCGGAAGCTATCCTGAAAGACATCCAAGGCGCTGTGGATCTAGCCGGTTCCAGATCCTCCAGTCCGGGCTCGGTGCTTCTTCAGTGTCCTTTCGATTACCGCCACACCATGCCCGCCAGGGCGCTTCTCCAGCACTCGCTCCGGTGTCCTGCTTCGCCGCTTGGATTGGACGAAGAGGCTGCTAGTCTCGTCGCGTCTCTCAGGTACTTACGCAAGGAAGTGCCGTTGGAACAGCAGCCAGAGCCACCGGGAGTAACGCAGGAAGAGACCAAAGAGAAGATTTTCTTTGATCCTTCTGGGACAAAGTTTTGGTACAGGGATGCTCCTGGTCCCGTCTCGGCCGATCAACCTCTCTCCCATCAACAGCAGGCTGGTTTTCCAGATTTGCCCGACTGTATCAAACTAGAGCTTGAGGATGATCGACAGAAGCTACCGACGCTAGAACAGTTGGATACTCTTTTGCCTTCTCAGTGCTGGCTTTTGCAAGAGGAGGTGAAGAGCTGGACATCTCTCCCTCGGAGTTACTCGTGGAACGTTTTGATATCGATCTTAGGAATGAAGATTGACAAGGAGAGGATCGCAGGCTGGCTACTTCTAAACTCCGTTCGGCATGGAGTAGTGTTGGATCCCGTCCTGGCTCATCATCTTTCTGGACTGGTGACGCTGTTCTTGGCGTCCATCAAAAGAGAAGCGCTTGGTACGTGGAATGGTGACCGGATCTCGAGACACAAAGTGAGTCAACTCAACTGTCCTGTGCTGCTTGAGTCTGGGAATTGGCTGATATCTCAACTGTTTTGTTTGTATCAACGACCAGCTGCTGGGGCCTTTATCCTGGGACTGCTACAGAATCTCCTAATATTGTCTGCTCGGCACTCGGCTCTTGACAAGCTTTCTAGTTCCGAACAGCAGCATAACGATGAGGATGGTAGACAGCTAGCACGCTGTGACGTCGAACCCGTCGTCGAGGCTTTGCAAGAACGGACAGCTCTGGAATGTTATTTGAGAGCTCGGGTGTATATGAGCACCTTGACGAATGCGAGATGGTGAGTAGCTGATATACTTGTACTTGGTAATCGTAATGAGCTACTTCGTCTTTGCAGCTTAGATGACTACGACGTTCTGGTGAGCAAGGCTGCTGAAGAGCGTCCGCAGCGATCAGAATATAGACCACTTTTGGAGCACGATGGTCTCGGTTGGCAGCGTTCACAGGCCGAGGTATATCATTGTTTGCTGAGTCCTTTTTTTTTTTTTCCTGTATAACTTTTTGAGATCCTCCAGGATTCCTCAAAGTCAAAGACGAAGGAGGAGCTTCTAGCGGACGAGAGAGATTATAAGCGAAGGCGTATGTCCTATAAAGGCAAGAAAGTGCGAAGATCAGCATCTCAGGTGCGTATCCGACACTTTAATTTCGCCTTCAGTTTTTTCTCTCATGATCTCGAACGTGAAGGTCTTGCGGGATATCATTGAAAGCCACATGGAGCAAATCGTTGTAGCCGGGGGAATTGGCTCTTTCAAAGGCCAATCCTCTCGCAAGCCAGAGTCAACCAGAGATGGTGGGGCAGACCACGCACAGACGCACGAGAAGAACAGGAGCAAATATGATTACAGGGATAAGAAAAACTACTCGAGGGATACGGGGAAACATTCCAGGGATCGCGCGAGATCAAGTGAGAGGTATACGAGCAAAGACCGAAGTAACAAGTGGGAAAGTGACGCTGACCGGAGTGATTCCCATTCTAGCAGGGACAGAAGGGAGTCGTCAAAGCACCGAAGAAGATGAGCTGCCGAGTATCCTATCAGTATCCTATACTGGTTTTTAGTTGCTTTATACTCAAACCCAAAGTTTTCCTCTTATGTTCTCTAGAGTCCTCGCAGTATTGACCAATTGGCTTGGTGAAAACTGCCACGATCGAACTGATTGTGGAAGACGTGCTGGTGCCGTTCTATATCCCTGGAAACAAGTTAAAGCAACAAAACACATGCGAGAACATGAAGTCGTGCAAGGTGAACATGGAGTCGTGCTAGACGTGCTCCCAGCGCTACAGCGAGCTTGGATCCCGTTTGTATAAAAGCGACTAACAGATATGTGGTTTCAGACGAGCGGGAAACTCAACTGTCATTCGCAATGCCGGGAAGTCTTGGGGGCTTTCTGGTATGGTGTTTGCTTTTGAGCCTGCGACTTGGCTGGCCCCTTGAAAACGAACCAACAGATGCGCTAGCTACGAGCAGTGAGAAGGAGATTGTGATTCCTGTGCCGCTGGATGGCACTGGACGGAAGCTGCTCGCTTCAGAGAAGAAGGAGAAGAAGAAGAAGAAGAAGAAGAAGAAGAAGAAGTGAGTTCCTAGTAAGCACATATCAATCACTCACGGTTTTTGCTTTCTTTTGCAGGAGTTCTTACAATTATTACAAACCAAAGTACGTCTCGTTTGCTTCAAGCTTCACCGGGAACACGATCGATGACTGCTGGGTGGGGGGTGATTGGAGGGGCGATCGTATGCACTTGGCCGACTGTGCTGTGGGATTTGGAGCCGGTGCTGCTGGGGGCCGGGGTGGTAAAGTCTATCAAGTCACTGATCCTGGTGATGATCCCGTGCAACCTTGGCCTGGTACTCTCAGATACGGAGTGACTCGGTCTGGCCCGCTCTGGATCACATTCTCGAGAGACATGAACATCAGGCTCAAGGCCGAGCTGCTGATCACCAGCTACAAGACGATCGATGCACGAGGTGCTAACGTGCAAATAGGACTAAACGGGCCGTGCCTAACTCTCCAGTACGTCGACCACGTTATCATCCACGGCCTCACCTTGCGCGACTGCAAGCCGAGCTCGTCCGGAAGAGTTATTTCGTCAGTCGATCACACAGGCTTTCGAGGAGGGTCAGATGGAGATGCCATTGCTATCTTCGGCTCCAGCAACGTTTGGATTGATCACTGCTCGCTATCGAGGGCGCAGGATGGATTGATCGACGCTATTCACGGATCCACAGCAATCACTATCTCAAACAACTATTTCTCTGACCATGACAAGGTAGTGTTTTTTTTTTTTGTTTTTCTTGTTTTTATAAATTTTCCTAGGAGCTGACCGGATCGTATCTTTGCAGGTAATGCTCCTCGGTCACTCCGATAGCTACTCGGCGGACAGAAACATGAAAATAACCGTTGTCTACAATCACTTCGTGGGATGTGTGCAGCGTATGCCAAGGTTTTGTTGTTTTTACTTCGTTTCTTCCGGAATACTTAACAAGAGCTTTGTTTTCTCCAGGGGGCGATTTGGCTACTTCCATGTCGTGAACAACAACTATGAAAACTGGGACATGTACGCAATCGGTGGCAGTGCCAATCCAACGTTCTTCAGTGAAGCCAACAGATTCCTTGCTACTGGCGCCAAACAGGTATTCAAAGTTTCACACAACTCTAAAACGAAGTTCTTACATTTCTCTCTCTCTCATTCCAGGTGACGAAACGAGAAGCGAAGGGTGGATCAAACTGGCTATGGCAGTCTTCTGGAGACCTGTTTGTAAACGGGGCCTACTTTGTAGAGTCTGGAGGTGGAGACGCCTCGCCACACTACAGCGGTGGACAATACTTTGCGACGAGATCCGCGTCAATGGTAACTCGGCTGACAGCAAATGCCGGTCCCTTGGGTTTGTGAGCTCGCGAAAGGTATTTCATAGCTTTGGAAAACAGATTGTTTACATCGCACAGCCAAGCACTTGTGTAAAAGGTATCGAGCCAGCGAAAGGCAGCCATCCTTTTTCACAGCAGAAAGAGAATTTTCTTGATAGCGAAATCGTTTGGTTTGACAAGCAAAGTTTTCAAGAGCTCTCACTTGTGGAGTTTCTTGTTGCTTCCAAAATTCCATGCGTGTATGGCACCAAGTCATTCGAAGACCATGAGGTACTTCGTTTCGTGACAAAAGATGTTACTCTTGGATATAAATTCAAAGCTCCTAGAGATGATCTTATTGATCATCCATAGTTTGATTATCTAGCTCGCAGAAAATGGCATTGAATTCTTCTCTGCTGCTACTCCTGTTATGTTACGTTCTTGCGATCGTCAATGCCGCCGATCCGGATCCACTGCAAGACTTTTGCGTTGCCCATCTCTCCAAGGATCTCACCATCAATGGCTTCCCTTGCAAGGACGCCTCGGCCGCCACCACCGAGGACTTCATCTTTGCCGCGCTGAAAAACCCGGGAAACACGAGCAACCCGTTCGGCGTTGGAGTGGTGCCTGGATCCGTCCGCGAGTACCCGGGCCTCAACACGCTCGGCATCTCGATCGCGAGGCTGGATTTCGCGGTTGGCGGCTTGACCCCTCCGCACACCCATCCCCGCGCGTCGGAGATCATCTACGTTGTCACCGGGAGCTTGTACGCTGGATTTGTGAGCACGGACAACAGGGTCTTCGCTCGAGTGATCACCGAGGGCGAGGTGATGATGTTCCCGCGGGGATTGATCCACTGGCAGCTCAACGTCGGGAAGAGCACCGCGACTGGGATCGTCACGCTCAATTCCCAGTCTCCGGGCTTCCAGTTCGTTGCAAACTCCTTGTTTGGATCCGGAGATATCTTGGACGAGGTGTTAGTCAAGAGCTTCTTCCTCGACGAGAATACCGTGCGTGAGATTAAGTCCATCTTTGCGTCTAGCTCATGATTCCGGATAGCCATCTTTCTTCGTAGTAACTTCTAATCGTCCACGATTTGCACTACTCTTTTCTTTGTTATTTCCATCTCGCTAGCCTTTGCCGGTCCTACCTTTAAATGACGATCGTTTACTCGGAATTTAAGATCACCTCTGACAAAGTCAATCTAAGCAAAGAGCTTCGACGAGCGTTCCTGAAAACAGAGTTAATCTTGCGTATAAATGCAGCTCCAAAATCTTTCCTTCAATCGCAGCACTTTTTTCCATTCGCTAATAGATCTCTTCCAAAAGTTCCAAGTTCTTAGTACGAAGTTCTTCGTAGTAAGCGAAGATCATGAAGCTGGTGGTAGCAAGATCCATGAATTCGCTGTCACTGCTGCTGCTGGTGATCGTCTCTCTTTCATTCTCGATTGGTGTCAATGCCGCCGACGCCGATCCACTGCAAGACTTCTGCGTCGCCGACCTCTCCAAGGATCTCTCCATGAATGGCTTCCCTTGCAAGCGAGCCTCCAACACCACCGTCGAAGATTTCATCTTTAGCGGCCTCAAACAATCAGCCAACACGAGCAATCCAGTCGGCGCTGACGCGGTGTTTGGATCCGTCTTCCAGTACCCGGGCCTCAACTCGCTGGGCCTCTCCATCGCAAGGCTCGACTTCGCAAAGGGCGGCTTGATCCCGCCTCACACCCATCCCCGCGCGTCCGAGATGATCTACGTCGTGGAGGGGAGCATGTACGCCGGGTTTGTCACCACGGACAACAAGCTCTTCGCTCGGGTCATCTCCAAAGGCGACGTGATGATCTTCCCCCGGGGTTTGATCCACTGGCAGCTCAACGTTGGGAACACCACCGCAATGGGGATCGTCACCCTCAACTCGCAGTTCCCTGGCTTCCAGCTCATCGCCGACTCCATGTTTGGATCGAATATCCTGGATGAGGTGCTGGTCAAGACCTTCTTCATCGACGAGAAGGCCGTGCAACAGCTTAAGTCAATCTTCGGCTAGGAAAAAGAAACCAAAAAACATAAAAGAAATTAGTGTTCGTCTTCGAATAAATACTTATTGCCGCGAGTGTTCTGTGCTTGAGAGGTCTTGGAATCTCTCGTTGCCACGCTTCGTCCTCGAGCTGCCAGCCTCCAAAGCCATGACGTACTCTGCCTCCGATTTTCATTTAGAAGATCCAATGCACAGACCTCTTCGTCTCCACATCCTCGTAGTAGAAGATGAAACCATTGGCCTTGGACCAGACATTGCAAGTGAATCCTCACGCCAATACTAGGTAGGTGGAATTGCTCGCCAGCGGCAAAATCCCCACTGGGACATTGCCGCTCGAATAAGAGCAGCGCGTCGGCGTTTGAACGAGATCATCTCGAAAATCTCCCAGAGTCTTTGCCTCCCAATGTACTCTTCTTTCCCAAGAGCGGTATCTCATGGCGACCTTGCGGTTTCTCGCACATGCTAATGCATCATTGACGATGCGTGCATTGTATTTTTGTCTGATGCGATCGCGCAGAAACGTTTTCTCGTGGCACATCCGCAACTGCCTTAATTGGGCATTTGGAAGATAAAATTAGTGTGTACAAATCCATGGCATGTGATAACGCTCGTGGACTCTGAGTATTCCTGAGCTTGGCAAATTGTTCCAGAAAAACCTTCCTTTCATGCGATTTTTCAGCCGGATGTAATGCGACGATCGCAGTGTATGCCGAAACCGGGCACAAAGGCTCTTTCGGATCTGGAATCGGACAGCATCACTCTCATCTCTCGTTCCTACGACAATCGACGATGTTTCCACGCGATATTCGATTGCAAGTGTGAGCGTGTGGCGTGACTGCATGGAACACGTACCAGGGACTTCCTGGTCCATCTCTTCAAGCGTGGATCTCGAGGACGAGCCTGTCATTTTCATGGTGACGATGCTCAAACTTGGGAACTAGATGATGGCACTCAAGAGCAAATTCAATGGAAAGTTCTGCAAGAGGCTGACTAACTACTGCCAGAGCTCTTTCAATGCTGGGACCCAATCACACACAATAGACATTTTCAATGTCAGGTACCCCATCACCAGAAACTCTAAGTTGTTGGTCACGGCTCTGGACAAACCACTCAGGTGACAAGGTAGACATGAAGTAGTTGTCACCATTCAAAATAAGGTTGGCAAGAGCCCCACGTTCTTCAACTCTTTAAGCTCATAATGACTTGAAGGTTGGTATGTCTTTTATTGTTGATGGTCAGATTTGAGTGGAGGTTGATGCTTTAGACATTTGGGAACTAATGGGGTGATACTATTGAAGAGGTTGTCCATAAAGATGTAGAGTCCATGCTTTTTATTTTAAATTTATTTATTTTGAAATTCTATTTCTAACATATTTATTTATTTGAATGATAGTGTTTTACTTTTTTTTCATTTTTAGAAGGCTGAAGTGACAATGACTTATAGTATTGCTAAAATGTAAAATCCATTCACCTATAAGTATAAAAATATTGTTTTTAAGGTTATGATCAATTATTTGTCAACTACATCAATGGAATTTAAAAAGTCATTATATATAATACCATTTCTGAGATTATAAAAATTGCTAATTTAAAGATAAGGTAAAGAATGGGTTATGCTCTAATTATTTAGCTATGATGACAACATATGAGCCAATAAATTTCTTATGAGCGTGTAAGCTATTTATGTTTTAGAATAGAACTATTTTGATATGCAGCCTAAAACCAATTCAAGAAAGAAATTTCCTGTACTTCAACAATTTTTCCCCAAAGAAGTATAACATTTTTATGATCATTGTTCAAGATATTTAACACTAAATGCTATGGAGAAAATGAAGTTTTATTTTAAATTAAAATCAATTAAACCATATGCTTATTAGCATAGTAGAGATGTTAGTTCAATTAACATAATTATAAAAAAAAAATTCTTTCAACGAATAAAAAGAAGTACTCAACTTTATAGTGGTTTTCACAATTTCTCAAGTAATTCTAGAAAGGATAAAAGGAGAAATACTATTTATAATTATTGCAACAAACAAGGCCATTACAAAATAAGTGTAAAATTCTGGAGAGGAGCTCATTAAATATAAAAAGATTAAAACATTTTTTATGAATGACTAAATCAATTATGAAGAGAACATTTTTATGAGTATCAATTAAAGAGTAAATTGGTATTTGATTGGTTTTAGAAACTAAAAACCAAATAATGGAGTTATTAAATTATGTATAAAGATGAAAATTATTTGATAAGAAAATAATTTTATTGTTGGATAAAAAAATTTATTCTTATGAAATAAAAACTGATAAAATGATTCTTTGGCAAGAAAATTATATGTTTCACATAAGAAAACAGTTATTGTAGTTTTGCAAGTCTATGTGGCTTTTTCAAAGGGAATTAAATTGATATTAGAACTTATTAAATCCTTGAAACATTTAAAATTAGGGTAAAATGGGAATGGTCTTGAATTTGAGTATAATGTATAATAAAACTTATAAATCCCCCAAAAAGTTCAAATCCATGCAAGATTAAGAAGAAAATCAGATTTAGATATAATGTATAACAATTTATTTTTCTTATAGTAAAAGAAATTTTTAAATTGCCAAACTAGACTGGTAGCTTGGTCAAGAATTTTATTTAGAAAAAATCCTTATACAAAAAAATTCAAATAGCTGCAACAAAATTACTCATTGGAAAATAAATAACTAAATCTAAGTGACTAGAAAAATACATTCATGAATTAATTTTAAAAACCTAATTAATTGAAATATATCTATAAGATGCTCCATACTTGAATTATGAAGTTAAAAGTAGTTATAAATGAACTTTTGATAGAAATTTTAACCAACTCATCCACTACAGATATCCTAATTGATTCCAAAAGTTATTCTTTATATAGTTAATTTTGTTGAAGCCATTTGTATACAATATTAAACTATCTCAATTACAACTAATTTGAACAAATTTGCATACTTGATTGTCCAAACATTATGCCTATAAATTATAAATAAAAGTCTTATCCTTGTATTCTTTAGCCATTATCTTTCATAAGAGGTATTTCTTATAACTAATACTATTTTATCAATTATCATTGCATAAATTCGTAAAATAATTCAAATCTTTCTTTAATGAAGTTAAGTTGATAAATGTTAGGAAATAGAACTTCAAAAAAATATTTGAAGCCTCCAAATCTAATAATCTAGTTCATATACAAAAGATGTCTTTCTAAAACTTGATCACCACTACCAAACCCCTTTACTATACTCATTCTCCGCAACAAGGATTAATTTTGGCATTGAAGATAAAAAAAAATGTTATATAACATAGAGGCTAACATCAACTACATTTAAATATTTACAAACAATGACATTTGATATGCAATTATCTTTTAGAGAATTAAATATTAAAAAATATACTTATAAGAATATGCTTAATATATAACTATTAGGGATATTCCTATGGTGGGTTAGTTTCAATTTTACCCAAAAATTGTTTGATAAATAAAACAAGATGAGGAAGAGGATGTTGTTTTGACTTTACAAGAGTAAAATCATCATAAGTCATAAAAAAATCAAATAGAAAAGGAAAGAGGGATTTAAAGTATATTCACCCTTGGGTGTTTGAGAAAGTTTTCCAGGCATAATATGATCAAGAATTAGCTTCAAAATTGACTCAACCTCAAGACATTGGATATGCATATATTTATCTCACTAGAGGGCATATAATCTCCTCATTTGATTCTTATGAGCTTGTTAGGAGTGTTGCAACATTAGAGGATAAAATCAAAATATGAATCTTTTTTGATGATAATGTCATTTAAAATTTATATTTCAATTGATAAATATATATCTACAAAAATTATTCATTTTTAAAAAACTATTCTTTGTTCCTGAACTAACAACCTGAGCTTGTCTAACAGACTTTTTCAACATCCACCATATAAGATAATCAAATAGTCTTGACTATATGGCAAGTAGTTGTTAAGATCCATTTAGTGTTGTCTAAATAATAATATTAAATTTAGCCATTGTTTCCTTGCACAAAGGAATGACATTGCTGATGTATATAGTTACAACTTAAAATTCTTTGTTGAGCTGGGCTACTATCTCCAATATCTTTCCCAAAAAGTGCAAAAATTTAAATTTTTTAAGCCATTTATAAATTTTAGTAGCTTGTGTTTTATCAAGAATTTGAATCTCATCTTTAAAGAACTTTAGCAACAATTATAAATATTCACACATCTAGATAATTGTTCTACCCCTACTCAACCATTGAGTATGTTGGACATATAAATATCTTTAATATATGAAAATTTAAATCCTTATTTAATGCCTTAAGCTATTTGAAGAAAAAATATAACTACTTTGTTAATCAATATCTAATAGCAATGACATAGAAGACAAGCCAGCCTACTCCACTTATATAAAGGATCTATTCATGTATAATTTCAATTTAAAGGTAGGAATATACCTTGCTCAAGGGTAAATTATATTTTAAGTTAATAAACTTATACCATTTTGTAGTGTACTTGATTTTCACCCTTCACACTAAACTGTAAACTTAGTAGAGTACAATCTAAGTTGCAAGACCTTAAGCCACTAAATTGTATATTTTTGAATTTGAACTTCACTACATAAACCCAAGGATGTTTAACCCTAATATCTTAAAATGTAACTGATTATAAAAGGGGGTACACTTAATTATGCACTTTTTTCTCTATATTTAAACTCCTATGAATCATCTTTTGAATCATTTTTTATTATTATTTAATAAAACAAAGGGATAAAGTTAAACTCCCAAGCAAGAAGCGAAGGAATTAGAGTATACAATAACTTCTGAGTGTATAGCCCAATGAATAAAAAGATAAAAGCACAAAGTAACATTATATGAAATATGAGTATGCTCGAAGATCTCTCACTCATACAAGGAGGACCTCACATCCTTCACATGGCTGATAAGACTTCCAGATCAACAGTCTACCCTTGTGACCTTTTACTTTCACCCTCACCTGCTTTCCAACATGAGTACTATCCAGATGCGCTAACTTCAAGGTCACCTAGGTCTCCTCCATTAGAGCAGTGTACATGATCTCAAATTCAAACCCAAATACAGTTCCATGACATAATCCTAAAGC